AAGCAACCTTTCGCTTCAGCCCTTGTCTAACACTAATGCTGGTGTAGGCAGTAAGGGCAGGGCAGCACCTTCAAAGGAGCACTCTTCTGCAAGGCCACAGCCAACAGTGCTGCCAAGCATGGCCAGGACCAGCCTCAGCTAGAAGCTGTTTGTTTCTCTTATCTCTGCAGGGCATCACATGCACTGTTATTGTTCATAAACCTGGAATTAACTTATTTGAACATTCTTCTGAATATTCCTTCTTCCCTTCCCCTCACAGTTTCCCTAACCAAGAGTCTTTTGCAAGTAATAATGCACAAAAGAAACCCTTCAAGTGTTGGCTTAATCTAGAAGTCCAGTGGCACTACTCTGGCAAACAAAGGAGTTTTGTCCTCCAAAATTATACTTTTAGGTTGAGATAATGGTTTGCATATTTCTCTGAGGCGCTTCACATGTTTAACATCTTGCATTTCCCTGGGAGCTCCTCGAGTACATAGCATTCCCCTACAGATGAAGTCACTGGGTTTCAAAGAGATGAAGACTCAAATTTTAAAAAGCACAAAAAACTTTGCGCACTTTGTTCTTTCAAAGGAAAGCCCAAGCATCAGTCTCCATACATTGAATCTGTATTAGCTGCAAATGCCAGCTGCTCCTGGAAGTCAGCTCCCAGCAGCAAATAAACTTGTAATAGAGAATTGATCCATTCAAATTGCATTTCCAAGGGAAAATGTCTTACTGAATGTGTGTGGCCAGTAAACATTTAAGCACAGCAAAGGCAGAAGGAAGGTTATCCTAGCACGTTTCAGGCTTCTTGTGATGTTCCAGACCACTCCAGCCTTATTCCTAAATAATGATCTAACTAGAATGACCAGTCATCAGAGCCCTGCTCTGATCTTTCAGATGATAAAATAGCACAAGGAGTTCTTTATCTACAAAGCACTATTGCTGAGGCAATTACATGTGAAATAAGTGTCCCAGTATTACTGTTGTACCCATTTCCTGTAGTTTTAGAGCAGATATCTCTGAAAACATCTCCTGTCCTTCTGCATAGTGAACGAATACTGCATTCAAGCCTTCCTTCAAGCTACTAGTCTCTGTATGCATTCGTAAATAAGGTGTAATTTTATGACCCATCAGCTAGCTCCCTGGTGTTGCCCTCATCAGGAAGATTTTGTATACTATGTGCGGTGATGGCCAAGCAGTTCTCCCATCCTGCCCTCTCCACCATGTGCTCTCTCATGCTGGCTGAGGAAGCTGTATGTGCAATAGCTTGAACCCCTTGGTAAAACCCGCAACATCAAGAGACATCAAACATGCTCAGCCCCATTCAGCAGCCTAAGTCCTAACTGGTATCTTGAGCAAGGCTAGAGGACTGCTAAGATAAATCTATACAGTGGCCTATTCATCAGCTGCACTCAGGAACATCCACGTATTTTACAGAGGAATTTTTTTAAGGTAAGTTCTTATCTAAGAGAATTCGTAAAGCCTTAAGAGATGACATATTATATATTTTTAAAAGCTCCCTGATTTTATATGAACACTTGAGATACGGTAATCTGTGAATTTATTCAGATTTGTAGCTCAGCATAAAGCTGTCTGCTTTTTGGACAGCCCTTTTGATTTACCATCCTGTGGTGAAATCACTGCAGGAATTTGGAGAAGGTCCAATTCTGTTTGTTTAAAGTCCTGATCATGTGGCTTTGGCATTCCTAACATATCCAGCAATCATTTGCTTTTAATTACCATTCATTTCAACCACATAAGTAATGAATGTGGCTACCACATCCAACTTACAGGCTGTGTAAACTCGAGCTGGGTGGAACTTTCTTCTATATAGAGGCTTAACTATAAATTTAACTCAAAATGTGAATCCTCTTAACTTATTTTAGGCAGGCCTTTATAAGTTAAAATAAAAATAAATAAAAAGGAAATGAAAAAAGCCTTAAATGAAAGATTCCACACAATACACCTGATTCACTTCAGAAGCAATTTCCTGGCCTCCCCAACCTCTGGGTATGACTGTAGAAACCTTAAAAAAACAAGTTGATTTAACGTTTCTATTTATTCATGGTGTCCAGTTTCCAGAGGAGTCTGTGAGTTGTAGTTTTAAACTCAATTTAGCATTTAAACTCATTTTCAGCTGGGTCCCTGTGGAGCAACAATTAGAAAAGGAAAAGAGTTCAAAGAAGAAGGGTTATAACCTTTCAACGGTATGTTTGCCTGGACTTTAAAAAAAAAAAGCACCTCTGTTACTATTCTTCTTACATTTGGCAAACAGTAGGTCAGATGGCTGGGTTGAGAACCTGTTGGTATAGAGAACTACACAGTTAGGTACAAACCAACTGTCTCTTTCATTGCAACTAATGCAAAGCTTCATTTGTTAGGGGTATTGTTATTTATATTGTGCTGAGAGCTTAGTATCAGCAGGCCCAGCTTCTCTTGTGAAAAAAAGAAATCTCACATCAAATCTGAGCAAGAGGAGGCCAGCCAAAAACACAAGGAGAAGCTGCGCTGTTGCACACTTAAAACTTGTGTTAAATCTACGCATCTTTTACCCTTGAAGGCTCCAGATGAGACTGGTGTCCCAACAATCCAGAGGCTGTATATATACGTTGTGGGAGCCAAGCAGACCATGCAGGCAACAGTTGGAAGAGGAACAGAGGTAATGTAACTTGTCAGAAGTCATAAATGGCCAAACTGGGAGTCGAGCAGTGGCCTGCAAATCAGGATGTGGGGCCCCCATTTATTAAACTACAGTGGTTTTATCATGGAGAGCTGGAATCTGTATCTATTTTGGTGTACTCAAAGTTGACCTGTGCTTTCTCTAGTAATGGCACTTTCTGTAGCCAATACCACTGTTATGAATGGGCTTCCAGTGTCGTAAATTCAGCCTCAAGATTCAGCCTCTGCCGAGACCTGGCTATCAAAAATCGTATTTGGAAGCACTGTACTTCATGAATACCAATGGATACCTAGTTGGCTTTTTTGCTTTTCCTCTCCCCCAGTTCTTGTAAATATAGAATATGGAAGCCTCCCCTGGGATCCACACTGCAGGCTCTCCCAGACTGGAGCACACAGGTACCCTGGGCAGGACCTGCCTGTCCAGACATGTGGGACTGCAGGATAATGGCGTGAGGGTGACTCAGGCAGGCAGGCTGAGGCTGCTTTTATCTTCCACACGGAGATGTCACTCACTCAGGTCAGAATGGGTCATATCATATCTGAAATAATGGGCTTTGTGAATGCAAATGAGAGTTTCAGTGCTCTCACAGTTTATTTAGATAACCTGGCTCAAGAAACAGGCCTCTTATGCAAGATTTAATCCCTTAAATTTGAGGCATTATATTTTAAAGGGAAAAAGTGATGCTACAGTAGCAGAACAGACAGGCAGGAAAATCTCTACCAGTGTGTCCTAAAATTACAGGAGACCTGGACAAAAATCTTGTGTTTATAAAGCTGGTTGATAGTACACCTGATCATTCTGACTGTAATGAAGTTACTACAAGGTGGAAATGTAAGCATTTACTATGTTATCTATCACCACATAATAAGACAAGTAGATTTGACCAGAAAAAATAATCAGCTACTGTGAATTAAATCAAGACTTTGTTTCTGTTTCATGTGGTCAGAAAAAGTTCTACAATATTTTCTAGAACAGGTACAACATACAGCTGGTGTCAGATAATTTGTACCTACAGATACCTGCAAGTAAGAGATTTAGGAAAGAACCCTCACTCCCAAATAAGCAAAGAGAAAGTTGATGTACTTGTTTGAAATAATTAAAGTAAAATTTTGATGAGAAATGTGCTGTAGTTCATCTGCTGCTGCTGAAACTCTCAATTTTGTAAAGATATGTTTAAAAAGAAAATGCAAATTTGTCCTTGGTCACTTGAAGAGAGCCTAAGAATGGCAGAAATGACAGCAGCTTTCATAGAGACACAGTTGACTGTGGACTAAAATCATCCCTAGGCCAGGCTATTAAAACAATTAAAGGTCCTGAACCGTTGAAATTTGATGTTCACAGGAGGCAGACGCAACCCAGGGCAGACGGTTTTGAATGGAAGGGAAAGCCAAGGCTTTCTCATCAAAACTCTCCCTTCCCCTGTTGTGTTTCCTGCTATCGCTGATAAGCTGTGGCTGATTTTTGAACTGGTTGCGACGTGACGATTAAAAATGGTGATAACCCATTAGCTGGAAGTGATGCTGTGGCAGCGCCCAGCTGGAGCACCCCGACGGCAGCAGCACCAGCAATGTGAAATGTCACCAGGAAAGATCTACAGACAGCCCTCTTGCTACAGGCCATCAGTGTCTACTCTTCCTGTTTGATTTTTGTTTAGCTTACTACGGGCTGATCAGTTCCCAGTGAAGCTGAGGGCACTTTGAGGCCCCTTTGAAAACTGAATTATCACATGGAATTAGAGCCCCATTCAAAATTCACATGTTTTCCATTTCATTAATGTGTGTGCCTGCGTCTGAATCCATGACCTGCACAGCCCATCAGTTTTTTTTCTCCTTCATGCTGCCCCTTTCATGTGTCTACCTTCCAATTTCCTTTTTCTCTTCAGGTTATGGATCACCCAACTTCCATATGCTGATACAATTTCCTCTCTCCCTGGCACTCCTGCAGCTATACAAGCATCTACTGATGCTGGTTTCTGTTCTTTCTCAGTCCTGGATGAAACACTCTTCACAGCTGCTAGCCTACAGCCATGGTCCCAGCCAACCCCTCCCACTTCTGCGTATGAGTCTTTGATTCCATCTTCAGAGTGGCCTTTATTGACCTATGTTCATCAGACTACTTTTTGCATATTTGATGCAGTCATATAAACCACAGAAAAGTTACTATTCTCAGAAAATACGTCCTGTGAACTTTTGTTAATTGGCTGCATCATCTGTAAGGCTGCAATCAACCTCTTATTTTAGAAACACACCTACATTTTGGGTTACACTAGTGCACTGGCTCAGAAGAGCTGAATAATGTAGACTTTGTCGCATAACAGGGCACACATACACACACATACCTTGGCATTTTGAAGAGGAGGTTGATAACTAGAGGGCCGATAGTACCTCCTCTGTGTAGCATCAGTATGAATGTCTCCGAGAAATAGCTCCTCCACAAGGTGGTCTAAATTGTGGTGCAGGTACTGCTTCTCCACGCGGATCAGCTGCAGTTCGTGCATGGCAAAATTCAGAGCTTTGGTGCATTCACAGCCATTCTCTTCTCTCAGCAAATCGTAGCTCACATCCTGCTCCCAGGGACTATCTTCTGGTATAAATCCAGGACACGTATGGTTCACCAACTCACTTAATTTTTTGGCTACTGCTTCGTTGTGGCATATGATCTGTATGTTGCGTAGCTGATAATCAGCTTCAGTACCCCCTCGGATGATCCAGGATGCTTGGCGGAGGCGTATTTTGCCACGTATGACTAATGTGTAGATAGGGTTTGTGCAACGATTGCCACCATAGTAAAACTGGTAGGCCTTAAATGTATTGTTGTGGTAGAACCTGTAAGATCTTGTGATGAACTCTGGGCCTGCTCTAACTTCGCACCTGTGGGAAGACAGAAAGTGATGGAAACAAAATTTTAGCAAGGTGGCACATCATGTACGCTACAGGTGACAAGACTGAGCAAACCTGCAAGGGTCCACAGAGACACTTGGGTGCTGACGTCCCTCTGGCATGAATGGGAGTAAATAGGAACTAGGCACCTGTGGCCTGTCAATTAACCAACAGTTTCCTCCGCTGTTACGCTGTTATTAATGTGCTGCGTCATGATGATCATATCTAAGGGCTTTATCTCTTTAGGTTTAAATATTCTGAGTCATGTTTTGCTTTTTCTTTTTGTCTAGAGACCACCACATAACTCGATTCTCCTCTGAAAAAAGTAGCGGCTTATTAAACATCTATTCTTATCTCTTGCATGGTAGATTTAACAAAAGGACTGATAACATCAGAAAGTGAAGTGCCAAATGTCCACAGAACAGTAGGAAGAACTGGCTTCTATGCTGCTGTAGAAGCTTCTCAGTGTAGCTCCACTAGCTCTGGCCAGCAGAGGACATGGACAATCAGGTCCTTAGCTTTTCCACTCCAACTTTCAACAGGGGTGGCAGTTAATACAAGCTTCTGACCGTTAACGCAAAACTATTTGGCTTGAATTTGGACTGTACAATATTTGTGGGGTTTCTTTTTCTCTGAAGGTGTAAATGGCAGTTAAATTCCACTTCCTGTAGCAAGTCCTTTTGTGCCTTCAAACTAGTCCCCCTTGTCACATCCACACTACTTAACATAAATAACGCTCCCTTCTGTTAAAAAACCCCAGTCTTCCCTACTACAAGTCACATCAAATAAGCATGTGAATATTGCCTGCTGAGACACAGAAAGCAAAATAACTCTCTGAATTATCTCTGAAGTCATCATGTATAGAGAGTAATAGAACTGGTGAAATACAGCTTCATAATTTCTTTTGCTAATAAAACCTGTGCTAGATGCATGCTCTGAAAACAAAGACTCATTCAACAGATCTAATGCATGTAGTAAAAGACAGTACAATGTTAAGTTTGAAAAAGTATCCATTTTGGCAACTTGTTGGGCTCCTTCCTATTCAAAGAGAGATTTAAAGATATTTCACAGCATGCTGTTTAAAATCCAGACTATGAATTAATTCATCAAGACAGCTTTATAGCATGCTATTCTAATGTACATAATGCCACTCCTTCTTCTTTTATGCATAAACATACAGAAAGCATCTGGAATGTAGAGCATCACCATATTAAAGACAATATTTCCCCTGCTGCTTAAAGTGGGAATATTCATCCTTCCCTCTCTGCTTCCTTCCCCTCTTCCACATATATCACTCAAGCATCTTGTTTTATCTTTCCTTACCCAGTAGAGACCCAGTGTCCCTCAATATTGGGAGGCATCTGCACAGTGATCCGGGCTCCATTGTGTAGGTGTTTCAGCATATGATGACACTGTGACTCCTTGAAAGCCCTCCATGCACTCTTCTCCAAGGACCGAGGGTGGGACCTGCTGTCCGGGTGAAGAAGAGCAGAACCTTCTCCCAGCCCTGTGATAGAAAAGTGTAAATTATCATGAGATCCTGCTGAGAATGGCTTCCACACGATAAAAGGAGATTGTGAACATCTTGTGCTGAAGGACACTTGTTCCCATTGTTATGTGTATGGGAATGTACTGGTTACATTTTTTCTCTCATCTGAAGAAAAACAAAATTTGCAAAGCTCTTCCTCTCTGTCAGCCCACTAATAATCCACTAAATAAATTTGCTTTACAAAATATGCTGGGGAAAAGGGCTTGAACCAAAGCGTTCCATCTCCACACCCAAGAGATGTGGCTGTCAACCTGAATTTTATAGACGCCTCTGTAATCTCTGGTCAGGACAATTGAAAACCTGGATCTTGATACTCTTAGGAAGTTGCATCCAGATCCAGACATGAACTTTGTGGCTTCAGCCCACCTCTAATTTGAACCCTTCTATAACAAACTCGCAAATAAAGACTACTCTTTAAAGCCAAGGGAGAACAGATACTAAATGCAAAGCCTCCACACACAGGAAGCCCCTGTGATGACTGAGGTGGTCAATTAAAGGCAGATTCTGCTATTTTTATTTTAAAGGGAAAAAGGAATTTCAAAAGTTAATTTTATCTCCAGCACACAGTAATTTTGGTTTCTAGTAATGTATACATACAAAACCCACCAGCGCTCTCTCTACACAATATTAATTGAACAAAATGAATACATAGCTTCAGAAGGAATGTGTCTTTACTCTTTTGGGCACAGCCTGATCTTAGATATGTTAGAAAACACGGGCCAAAAGAAAAACACACATCTAGAGGTTAAGAGGTGACAAATATGAACCTTACATAATGGGTTGGAGACTGTATTACTTGGCCAGAAGGAATTTAAGAACCAGCAGGCTAGAAAACAAGTATGGGATGGGGTGGAGGGGCTGGTTTTGTGCCTGGGAAGTCAGGGCGGCCATCTCGGGAGAGGGATGTCTCGCTAACACGTGCTCCTAGGGGCAGGGCCTGGGATTCACCCCCATCTTTTCTGGTGCCTTCTTGGCTGACCTGGCTCGGGAACTGGGCTGTTGGGGATCGCCAGTGTGTGGTGCACCCCTACACCATGCTGAGCTGCCTAAACGCAGGACCCTACGCTTCATTCCCCAGGCCCCACCTAACGCTTAGGCACGGGCTTGGGCAGCGCACAGCATTGCTACACAAATGATAAGAAAATCAGTATTACTTTTTTTTTTAGGTAGACACTGTTTCAAACCTTTTCCATTTCCTATTGCAAAAAAGAAAACGGTGTCAGTGATTCATTAAGTTGGCTACATCCTAGATCTTCCGGAATAAACTTGGGTAACACCTGGGAAATGGCATTGCCAAAAATAGAAATACATGTCCACTATTTAAAAATAGCAATTCCTAAGCTAAATGAAGGCAAGGACTTATCCAGTAGGCAGGGCAAAGAATGATCAGAAAGAATACAATAAATACCTGAATGTAAACAGTGCTTACCACTGAATGATCTCAAGGTTTAATGACATTAACGAATACAAACTCACACAGTCTTTACTGCAAAATTCTGGTAGCTTTGTTGCAGGTTACAAACAATTCTTCCGTGTGAAGGAGAATTTATGGCCTTAATTTCTAGAGGGTAATAAATACTGGTGATGCTTTGATATTTGAGCATGCCGTCTGAGATGCCCTTAAAGGAGCCTGATTTTCAGGGGGTCAATTCTTCTCCCTTTCTGGAAGTCACGGCTTCTCACATATTTCTATACTGCTGAGCAGAGTCACTCACGTTCATGCCGAACAACTCCCATTCTGCAGCCAGAAATGGTATGGCACTTCAGAAATGGTATGGCCACAGCAGGGTGATGCTCTGTTTGAGCTGACTACATCTTTGGAGAGACAGGATTTACTAGATAGGGTCACTGGTCCATGTACGTGCTGGTACAGCCTTCTGGGCTGAAGCCAGCACCTCTGCACAGCAGCTCTGTGCTGTGCCGTGTCTGCAGCCCACCCCAACTGGAGCAGCACTTGACACTCTCAAAAACTTACTTGGTTTATCTCAAACCTTGTGGGTATGGGGCGGATATCGCAGGCCTTTGCATCACCAGGAGAACAAGTTCATCCAGGTACAGATGAGCTTACCAGTATATGTATTTTTGTCATTATGAATCACAGCTAGTGACAGAGCTTGCCTTCCAACACCCTTCTCCATCTCTAAGTCTCCACACACTCAAACCGCTCACATTACTTCAGCAGCTCATTCTGAAATGGAGTGACTGTTCCTGTCCATGGGCTCAGAGCACCTTTTGGGTCAGAAGTAACACCTCCTGCAAGGTTCCTGGTAGGGGCTGTAGCCATCAGTACTAACTTCCAACAGAAACATAGCTGTTAGGGTGTCTCCTGCAGACAAATTATCTCACACTGGAAAAGTCTTTGAAAATTTTGATTTCCACTTGAAGTATTTAAGCGTTTGAAATCTGCCATCAAGAGGAGGTTTTGAAATGGTTCAAGTGACTACTTCCAAGGCATATTTATTATACCACTTGCTTTTAAGCAGTTGTATTTTGCCTAGCTCATGTCATATGATTCATGAACACAGACGCACTTAAAAATGAATGATTTATTCATTTAAACATACTTGGGCATTTAATTTCTCCAAGCAAAAATCTTTCTGTGGGTGGATCTTGTATGCGCACATATCAAAGGAGAAAATGCAGTAACCACATTACACGTTCCCAATTATTCCCTGGAGGAAATAGTGAAAAGAAGGGGTTTTCGAAAAGGAGTCAAACTTTATGTGGTATTATACAGTGTCTTTTCTTTGATGTAGCTCAACAGCAACTGGGTCCCAGCTCTCCCTGTCACACGTATGTAGCTCTGTCTGCAACTTGCAAATGACAAACTGTAACCAGCGGACGGAAGGGAGATTTGCATTGATAGCCCCAGAGATCTGTACCTGCGAAGAGGCTATTTGTTTGGGACTCTATCCACCCAACTGTGACAAATGAGGGCTGGAACAAGTTTAAGTAATCAAGACAGGCATGAGAACATAAGAAAGGCTGCAGAGACAGAGGAAGGGATGTAGAAAACACACACATGCTAGGCAACATCACGTAAATAGGACATGAGTATCAGGATATGAATTATGGTATAAAATTAAATGGCAGTGATGGGACCTTTACCTATGTTTGTGTTGCTGAGGCAAGGAAATACTTAATTTATCCTTACCAAGCAATCATTTCAACACTTTTGTACTTGCTGACATATGCCTGTACATACGACTACCATTCAAAGGAGCCACAACTTCCCCTTGTACCATCTGAAGATCAAAGACCAAGACTGGTGATATGCTTCCCGCACAGGGCAGTAAACCGAACACCATCGTCCTGTGCTCTTCCTCGCAGCAGCTGCTCAGAGGCAGAGCAGTGTCCCTCTGCTCCACTCTTGGCAGTGCACAATGAGGTGCTCCGCAAAACTGAGGTCCTGCAGGGACGATGTCACTAATTTTAAAAGATCCACTTCACCATGATAAATGGGACATTGCTGGAAGGCTCAAGGTTAAAATGTTCTTTCATGAAACTGGGAAAAGAATTTCATGGCTCTTTAACATCCCACTTTGGAGCCTAGACACAGTTGCAACATAGTTGGAGCCACTGCTTTCATTCAAAGAGATCCAAGTCTGCTGTTCTCTACAGCACAGACAGATGGTAGGTTTTAGTACCTCCATGACATGCCATGTAAGTATCTCAGACTCTCTCTGACTGACTGACTTGTAAACTTTTGTGTGTTATGAAGGAATATTACCCACTTGTTAAAAAAAATTTAAATAAATTCACCGTATTATTACTCAAAAGTACGGCAGACTTCAAACAAAACACAATCTTTGCATGAAACGAACAGCAATAATTCTGTGAAGCCTCTGGTTGGCTTTCACTTTAGCTACATCCCAACCAGAGGTCGTAAGATTGTATCACCCACCCCATGGTGGCTGTTTACACAAAGCAGCAAGTCCAAAAGGAAAAGGAAAATTCCAGAATCCATCAGAAATGCCAGCTAGAAAAACAAAACAAAACAAATGCATTTTCTGATGAGTTGATATCCAACTTCTCTTTCATAATCAAGCCCTAGCAGCGTAAATCACAGCTTTAGCATCGAACTAACTGAAAATAGTGTAAGAGGTGCTACAGCTAGCTGGGGATCCTGCCCAGGCCCTCACAGACCACACTTTATAGGGTCAGATGCAACATCCATCTGAGTGGGAAACTGGTGGTCGGCACAGCTGCCACTCCAGTAAGACATGGGTAGGAGCATGCACTATACCAGACAGAGGACTTCAGGCTCTCAGGTTCACCTATAAACCTGTATCTGATGTGGGAACAACCATTCAAGATAAAAATAATTGTTAAGGGAAGATAGGTTACTTTCAAGTTCTTCAAAGATTTCCGCACATAGCTGCGAGTAAAATACAAATCTTAAAAGAGCAATCTGTTGGCAGCCCGTTACCCAAACGTGTTTCAAATAGCAAAATGGCTATGACAAAGCTCTTCACCAACAGTTCTGCAAAAACTGCAAGATGCTGGAATAAATGTTTCAGTTTTCTGAAAAATAGTAGGCAAATAATGTACAATTGCAACAAAGATAATGGTAAGTAGAGTTGTGCTTGAACACAAGTTCTTGTAATTTAATTCCTGCCTAAACACCCTGGCCAAATTCTGTTCTCAGCTACGCCAGATTGCTAAAGTATAACACAAATAATCTGTTTAGATTTAATCAGTTTAATGACTACCTCTACCAGAATCTAAACCATGGCTTCAAACATGTCCAAGTGGAGTGCTTCAAACCAGACTCAAAGCTACTAGGTGTTCAGGGGGTTCATCCTTTCCTAAATGGGAGAGTAAATGTTACCTGAAAGTAGGATTCAAACCTGGATTTACATTGGAATTGTAGGAACCACTTCACTTTTTCTTTCATTTATAGCAATGTAAATCTAGAAGAGCACAATTTTATTACGAATTGTAACAACCTTGAGTGATAGTACAAGTTCAAAATACGTGATGGCTTCATCTCCGATAGAAACATTTTAACATTTGTGCTTTATTTCTGTGGCAAACTTTTCAAGTTAGAACTTGTTTCAAACTTGAAAAATCTTACAACAGATAAAGAATAATTGGCTGGATTAAGATTGTACCTCTCCTTATCTGGGCAGTTGCTCTGCACAATTAAATAAATAGACATTTGGATTATGCTCTTTCTTGATGTGGGATAGTGTTAGATAACGCCCATGACAGGCTTTTAGCTACAGCGTAAACTTACGTAATTGCCATGGAGAATATAATGTCCTGTTACCAAGCCGCGGTCTGTGTTTACCAGTGTTTTCCCTGCACTTGAAACTTCAAAGAGTCCTCGCAGGATTGGGACCTAAATTAGCTACTACAAACAAAAGGGTTGGGAAAGGAAAGCTGGGTTTTATGGCCATGGAAGCAGACGGGATAATGATTTCCTTTCACATGTATCTGTTGCCTTTCTTGTGCATACAGAATTTCCAGCTACAGCTTTCAAAGAGATGAGAACTGAATGTTTCAGTGTGGAAGATCCTGAAGAGAGATCTGAAGTATGTTTAGATGGGACAGCTAAAAAAAACCTCCTCCAAGGCTGACAGGCCCAGCATTGAGGTCCCCTGTTCTCCTACAGCTCAGTCGTTATTCAATGCCCCATCTTGGAAGAGATCAGAGAACCAAGTGTCAAGCAGCTGATAACCACTAAGTAGAAGTTCAGCTCTTAATTGGGATGACTGCTGCTGCTGCCCGTGCCAGGCGAAACACGACTGCCCAGAGCACGGGCTTCCTTATGAAGGTCTGAAGTGTGAAAGCCCATCTCCTGTCAGGGCAGCAGGAGCTCTGGCACTGGCATGAGTGGGTGCAGCACCGGGCTGTAAGTGCAATTCAATATCGATGGCAGTTTGGTCTTGCCCTCTTTGAAGGAAACATCTGCACTCTGGCAGAGACACCTGCCGTGCAGCCTGCAGACCTCCGCCCCGTCCTCCGCCCACAGCTCGGCACCAGGATTTAGTCAGGTGGAACTGCCCCCAGCGCCGATGGGGCTTGCGTCTGAGTAACGACAACGCTAAACAAGCTCGCTGCATATAATCCTGCCCTCTATCAGCCCTGTTTAGAGCGTCGCATCAGTAATAAAATCCTAGCCTTGCCTTAAATAGCTGAAGGTATTTGCCTTCAGTGTGGTTGAGGCTAGTTTTGGGCCTCATCTCGTGTCTGCCTACCTCCTGTGGACACCCCACAGAGCGCAAAAATTGCCCTTTCTCTTCATGACACCTGTATCATACCACTGTTAGCCCATAGTCAAGTTACAGAGATGAGTGAAATCAAACTTACACTGACGAAACTGGGAATAAAATTGAGTCCTCCTTCTAACTCTCCCAGCAAACTCTACAAGTCTTACACTAAGCAGCGTGTCTTCCCCTCTTTCTCTCTTTATTGGCCTCCACAATTCCAAATGCAGTATTTCACTGGGGGAACAGATCACATGCACCTCTAGCACGGAACACAGTATTTGTCCGTTTTATGGATACGGGTATTTATGTCTTCTGATACATTTACTTCTTATTTTTCTGAACAGCTTTTGAAATAAAACACTTCTATGCAACTGATTTAAGCAATATTGCCAAAGAACTTCTAAAAGCATAAACAATTCACTCTGAAAAGCCTAGCAGTCCTGTCTTCATCATCTTTATTAGTACTATTTCCATGATGTTATCAACAAATTGTTTTAAAGTTTCTAATTCATTACTCTAACAGTAACATAATCAGAAATACGCTAAAGTTTCTTCTTAGCATCTCTATTTGTAAAAAAAAGTTACATTTACAAAAGAAATTAGCCAAATTTGTTTTGAATCCATTTGAACATAGCTTTTATCAATTGGGTTTTCTGGAGCTGAATGATCTCGACATCTGAAACTTCTGTGACTTTTTGTCTAAGCAAAGAAAACAGTGATAATGGACAACTTCCAGCTGCAAACCTTTTTTTTCTTTTTTTTTTTTTTTTTTAAACACTGTACAGGTTTTATTTAACAAAGACAAGTTTTTCCAAATTTCAACTCAGTGATGTTAAAGTAGGCATTTCTGAATGCAATGAAAGCAGAAGCTTTAGCCTTATAGGACATTTTAAGTTGTGTTATAAAGCTTTAAGCCCCCAAAATCCTCAAGCACCCACCCACACTCACTCGCTTTTAACCCTTAAATTGCCATGTGCAATAGAAATGCAAAAGAAAACACCACGTGCTGTAAAGAGGCTTAACACTGTGATCCCTTGGAGTTGCTGGTTATTCTTACATATTACCAATTCAGGCTAGCTGCTGACTGAAGGATGTTCCTATTGACTATGGCACAGAGGGAAAAGCTGTAGGCGAAGTTAAAGCCACAGGGTAAATACATTTAGATGAGCTACATTTCAGTGCATTATATGCCACTGATGTCATTTTCAAGTTTGTAAGAGGGCAGTAGTTTCCCAGTGCTTGAAGCTCAGAGCCAAACCACGCACTGCTACATTACCAAGGTGTTTATCTTTACATACACAGCACTGAGTTGGATCTTTCTACAAGAACTCAGGTTTGTGTTATTTGCTGAAATACAACTGCAGATGGAAGAAATAGATGATTTTCCTCCTTCATCCTCTTTTGGCAGCTGCTGTTTTGATCTGATCACTGGCCCTGATTTGTTTCCTGCTCTAGCCAGGGTTCAGCTCTGCTCTGTAATTCCAAGCAGATGAGCTGGGGAGTCCAACCCTGTAATTACACCTCCTCTCTCTACCCTCTAACTTCAAACCTCCCATTTTGAGTTTTACATCTCAGATCACAGAGTTTTAAAGAACACCTCTGGCATCCCAGCAGGTCTGGCTCAGCTAAACGTGTTTCTACACTCTCTGGATTTCATAGCTGAGCTGTGGGAAGGGTATAAAACCCCCTCCTGGGGAACAGGGTCTCCTGTTCTTTCTTTCTCAAAACAACATACACA